TTCAGACTCTCCGAGGCAGATCCCCGGGAGCGATCCAGAACCAACCTCTGGATCCAGCGCCGCCAAGATCCACGGAAACTCTGACCCGGGCCCGAATTCAGCAGCTGGCCCCAGTCGAGGCATCAAAACCCAGAACTTGAGCCAACCCTGGAGGATGTTTGGAACCAAATTTGGATCTGGACTTTGCAGCATGAGCCTGCTTTCGCTGTGAATCACTTGCTCCCTGTGTCTAGATACTGCTGGACTCCACGTTGCTCTGCTCCATTGCCCACGGTTACTCAAGGTGCCATATGGATGGGTCTTATAGCCAACGTAGGTACCATACAGGCAAGTGCTATGCTTGTTAGAGATAGGAAGGTTTAATATCAGCAGTGACGAAGTTCAAAAAGCATCAGATAGTCTCACGTTCAGGTCACTTGGAAGAAGGGAAATCGTTTCTGGTCAATGGCATGCATAAGAAAACCCTCCTCTCGCGCATAAGAAAGTTGCTGGCAAACGAGCTTGCTAAGACATCCCAGTTTAGAGGAGATCGCATCTATCTTGCCAGAGTAATTTGTATTCTCAAGCCATCGCCGTCTGCAAGAGTGACACCAGTTACTAGGCAGTCAGCTCTCTTCCGCCGCAACGTTTATTGTCCAGAAAGCCAAATAAATGCAAAGCAGCCCATGCAAAATGACTGCCCTGCTAATTGCTGGAGGAGAGAGCATGAGAAGGCGGCCCAGCAGGACTGCTTGGAGCTGGTGCCCAGGGGCTGAAGGAAACCAAGCAGTATTTGGGAAGTCAGAGACCCGGTCGCAGCCTGAGCTCCAGGTGCCCAGGTGTGTGAATGCAGCATGATCTGATACAGGGGTGTAGGTTGTAGCCGTGTTGGTCTAAGGACACAGGCAGACAAGGTTCCTTGGGTGAATTTGATACCTTTTATTAGACCAACCCAAATAGTTGGAGAATAGTTATTAAGCATGATCTGCTATGCCCTCAGGGCTGTAGTACCCAGAGGAGATAAGCCGGAGAGCAAGCCTGAGCTGTGAGCTTCCCGACTTGTGTTTAGTCCAACGTTCAGAGCTTTTTCCTTCCCCAGCTTAAGCCTGCGCAAGGAAAGCACATGTGAACAGGAAACAGCACCAGCCTCACAGGTGCGTGAAGGCCACCACCGATCCACCTCGACTTTCCCTGCAGCATCCCACCCACCGCGATGGGCCGCATTTCCTCATTTACAACGCACCCCCAAACAAAACGCATGCCTTGTTTCAGAAGGCACAATGTAGGAGGAAAGGATTTTTTCAGTGTCACGGCTGAATTTGACAGGGAGAAAGTCCTCCTGGAAACGCGGTGTGTCCATTAAGTGCAGCATCCCGGGAGACAGTCTAGGCACACAAGGCCAAGCCCCAGACCCTTGCAAGGGCAGTAGCAGTTTACATAAAGAACTACTTACAGTGAAGCGGTAAGTACCTATAAATAAACCCTTGTTTCCACATCACAAGCCTCATCAGGATGCTACCAGCGGCTCACGTGCTGCTTCAGGCCCAAGTTGCAGTGCTCAGACAATAGCTACGGCTGCGAGAGGGTTATCACGGGACTCCATCCCTGCAGCTTGCTGAGCCAGACGCAAGCAGCAGCCACCTTGGTAGCTGCATGGCACGCACAGTGTCTTCAGGTGTGCTTCTCCAGTGAAGAAGACACCTTCCTTGCTCCATGCGGGCACCCTGATTTTGGGGAACTGATTTTTGGGGGCCGGGTGCATGTTGTGTGAGAGAAATTATGATATTTGCTGCTGTCTCTTGTGCACGACAGTAAGTGGGTGCACTACCCAAGGTGGAACCGGCACAGCAGGGCTTGGTCCAGCCTGCTTTTCAGGCACAAAAACTGGAGGCTTCACTTACAAGGGGTCTGGCGAGGGGTGGTTTTTACGTGTGGGCACTGAATAGTACTGAGCACCAAACTAGGCTAAAGACAGGCCAGCAGGCAGCCAGGTAAACACGGCCTCAGGAGAGGGCACACCAGGCCCTCGCACACCGAATCAGCCGACCGACTCCAAGGGAGAGAAAGCAGGTCTCACTTCTTGCTCAGTCCCTGTCCCTTTTATCTGCTTTGTTAGCACAGGAGATTGCAAGCAAGCGCCTGCAGCTGATCTCCTTAGGCTGCATTGCTGCTGCCCCGGTTTGTGGGTGAAGGGGAGGGCGACACCACCCTGGGCTTGCGGCTTCAGATGGGGAAGGGCAGGGAGACTGAGAAGGAAGGAGGCTCCGTTCCCTAGTAAGCAATGAAGAAAGCAGACGGGCGCACGCAGGAGGCTCAGCCAAAGTGACTCTCGCACCAGAGCGGGGTCAGGGCTTCCCAGAGGCAGCACCATCTACCATGAGCAGATCCAGGATTTCGTCAAGGAGGGGTGGGCGCAGCAACGGGCACTGCAGGGATGGCTGCACCCCCGCTCTCAGCCTCTCCCCACAACCAGATGCCATCCCGCGAGCGGCACTGTGAGCCTCCCCTCGTCCCTTCCCCTCCGCTGCCTCCGTCTCTGCTACCTCCAGCTGCCTTGGGGGCAGGGGAGCTCCACTGCTGGTCCCGATTTGGGGACTTGAAAAAGTCCCCGGCTGATGCTCCCATGACAGGGAGTGAAACGGGGGTGCTGCTGTGCCGCCACACCCCGTCTGGATCCGTCCCTGCCATGTGCAGCCTGGGGCAGGATTTAGGAGCCCCGTGTCCCATGCCTGCTGCAGACTCGCAAGGTGAAGCTAAAGTCCCCTCCCTTACCACCATCCCTTTCATTTGCCTGGGAGCCGTTCGGGGCAGGGGCGCTCTCCTACACGTGCTTGAGCAGCAGCCAGCACAACGGTGCCCGTCGATGCCGTGTAACGACACGGTCTATGGTCACAAAACAGAGCTGGTTTCATTGCTTTCCCCCTCTCCCTCCTCACTGCAAAGTCTCCAGCTGCCCCTCCACAACCAGGCTGCTGGTTTCCCATCCCAGAAACTGAAGTGCGCGCGGTCAGCACGGAGACAGCTGCATTTCTGTTGTCCCTTTGCCATGCAAGATGAATAGAAAACCATATTCAGCAGCTCGAGACAGGAGGGGTCACGTATGGCAGCGAAAAGCTCACAAGCAACAGTTGCTGTGCCTCGCGCAGCTAGGATGGGAGGCACGGCAGCTGCTCCATGGGCCGAGCAAGCCTGAAGCGAGCACAAGCAGCGATGAAACACCAGCAAAATGTTGTGGCGACGGGGATTTTTCCAAAGCTGAAGCTCCCTGCGAGCCTGTGTAAAAGGAGGACTGCAGCTCCCCTGGCAGACACAGCATCTGCCAAAAGCTCTGGACCCACAAGCATTTATTTAAAGTCTAAACACTCCCCCGTGCAAGTGGCAGGATGGGATCTGCAGATGCTGGAGAAAGCGAGCCCTATATCGCCCGAAGCCAGACAGACCAGGGGGTCCCTCACCCCCAGCTGCAGCACCACATGTTCTCCAGGCACTGCTAACCCCGACCACCACCGCCGACTGGATGGCAACAGGAGGACCACCCTGCCTCCCGCTCCAGTGCAAGGGGGGGAAAAAATTGGCTGCGAGGAGTCCAACGACTGCAGCACAAAGCATCCGTGCTGGTGCACCCAGCGGGCTCACGGCTGAGGCTGCCCCCCGAGATACCAGGCTGTGGAGACCTGCCCACTAGGACATGGGCCGGGCCCACCTCTCACCCTACATGGGTAATGAGTGGCAGCAAGCTGGTGATATTTTAAGTCACTATGAATCCGAGCTGACAATCTCAGTATCTCAGGCTGGGTTGGGGCCTAACCTCAGTGAGCAGCGGAAGCTCAAATCAAGTCTCCTCTCCAAGTCAAACCATGATACTTAGCTATTAGGATAGCAAAGTGCTGTGTATGTCCCAAAATCTGATAGCAAGAGAGGGCAAATAGCATTATCCTCACTGTAGAGGGGGAAAACACTGAGGTCTTGGAGAGATAAAGGGAGGTGCCTAAGGTGATGCAGTACATCAGTGGCAGAGGCAGGGATAGAGCCCAGGCCTCCTGATAACGCCCCCCCCAGCACGACAGACATAGATAGCTGCCTTAAGAACATGCCAGCTCTCCGAGATCGCTGACTGAGCTCCAGTAATCATTAAAATAATGCACAGCCCTGGCCCATTAAAGCAAGAACGGGCCCGCCCAAGCCTCTGTAATGAGCACCACGCCGAAAGCAAACCAGAAGCAAACCACATAACACAACCCCCTGCAAAAAAAAAATCTTTCATGAGTATCTAACATGACTTGTCACCAGAAACCTTCCTGCAGCTCAGAGGAAGATGACAATTTGGGGACAATTAGCAATTTCCCCCTGGCTTGATTAGAAGCAGAATCAAGGCAGTGGGATCCACCAGCCGCAGACTTTGAAAGCTGAGCTTCCCATCAAATGACAAAGAGAAACAGGATCGGGCCCTAATCTATGAGCCTTTTTAAAAGGCCATGTCCTCTGATTTATATTCTACTACCAAAAAACACAAAGGAAATTAATTTTTTTTTTTAACATAACAAGCTAACTTTAAAAGGACAGGAAATTTGTGTTTCTGGCTGCCAGTCTGTCCTCAGCTCACCCTGCTGTGAGCACACGGATAGTTCGGCACATATGGTATTGCTGACTGCACCAAGAGCCCTGCCTACTAGGTAGACGCAAAGGGGGTTGAATATGGGCATTCAACTCGCAGCTGAATTTTCATTGATTTTTGTTGGTTTAAAGTCAAGTGCTTGAGCCAGGCCCTTTATTTGCAGTAACATGCTAGGACAGTTCCCATCAGCAGGGCAGGTTGGGAAGTTTTGTGTCCGCTGATTTCTAACATAGCCTGTTTTTATTAAACCTTTGTGCAGTTATTTGCCTTACGTTCACAAAACAAAATTCAGAAGAGGTTTAATAAATGCATACCCTTCGCCCTTGCACAAACACCAGGAGGCTGCTGCTGCAGCTGCCTTCTGGGAAGCAGTGCTTAGACACAATTCCCCACTCCAAATTTTTACCTTGTTTGCTGCTTTCATTTCCCTTCCTTTTTAGTACGGAGAATATTCATGTAATCAGCTGCCCACGGTCTCTTGCTCGGTCTCCCAGCTTTGAATTCATCAGTGGTTAGCGTCTAGCTCCTGGTGGTTTTGGTGCTGCTTCTTGTGGGAAGGATGAGGGCCTAAACAATCAGTTGATTCAGGTGTGCAATGAGAGTATCGGCTAGAGACGCAACCCCCGATCTATGATGCTGTCTGCTTTGTTATACCGAACTATCCACATAGGCACATGTGCATATAATCACATTCGGTGCTAATTAATGGCAATGTTCCTAAACAAAATAATAATAATAATAGAAGCCCAACTAGCGCTTTCAAAAGGGGACAGAAGTAGGTACGTTTCTCCAAGGGGTGGCAGAGCATATAATTGGTTAAATATGTTGCTAGAAACCCAAGATAGGATTTTAGTTCAGGCTTGGATTTGCAACCGGTCTGCAGCCGGTGTCAGGGTTTCCAAAGAGCTCAGCTCCCATTCAGGGATCTGAATAAGGGCCAGCACTTCTAGCTGGCTCCGAGTCCCCCAGCGATCCCGGCACAGTTGCTGGCTCCTGAGCCCTGTATCTGAACACATGGGCTCACAGGAGTGGAGCCACAAACCTCAGCAACGGGCATGGACCAAGAGGGTCTACCCAGCTACAAGTGGGGGGCAGCGAGCAGGCACCAGCTGCTCTGTTACCCGAGCTAAACCACTCTGGGGCTGTTTCATTCAGGGATGCACAGCCCCCCTTTCGCTTCCACATGCTATAGGGTAGAGCTGGCTCATAGCACAGAGCAACAGAGGTATGGCACCGTCAGTCTGCCTTCCCCTTCTTCACCCTTTTAAATCAGCCCCTTAGCTATGCCGAAACCACAGCCACCACTACTGTGACTGCAACTCGTATCACTATACCTAAGCTAGTTAAACCCTCAAGTTCTGCCACTGTTTGCAGTGTGTCCACAATACAGCTTCTCAGGTCAGCTTTGCAGGCCACAAGTCACTGTCCCTACACTGCTACCGGTACCCAGTCAACTGAGCTAGCTCGGACAGTCTGCACCAGCTTCACAGAGAGCAGGCTTCGTTTCCTATGAGTCACGGTCTGATCTCAGAGAGGCCAGAGCGAATCTGAAAGAAATTATTGGACTTTCATGGAGCTCTCTTTGATTTACCCCAGCTGAAAAAATCAGAATCCAGCCCCTACATTAGAGCTAGGACAGCTCAGGCCCGTGGCCCTGGTCCTGCTCACCGCTTCATAAGCGTGCAAGAAATCTGGTTGCCGGATTGTGCTCTCGCAGCGAAGGATGCCAAACAGGATGGCTCTCTGCTTCCAATGAGGCAGCTATTAATCTATTGCAAAATAGTCAACATGTTTTTGTACTCTTTGTGCAAGAGAGAGAAAGATTAAAGTATGAAAGAAGTCTGGTCATGTGTACAAAGAGCCAAGTGCCTTCTGGAGTCGTCAAGTATAATTACCTTGCTTTTTAAAGCTGGAGCCCTCTGCCAGCCTTACCCGTTTCCTTTGGCTTCCCGGGCACTACTGATACTGCCAGCTCCAGCATCTGTGAGCGACAGTCAGTGAAGAGCATTACCTGCTTTTGCAGAGACGCAGCTGAAGCTCATCCAACCTTGATCACAACAGATATCACTTTTACAACCTGGAATTGCAGGCAGGAAAAGCATTTGAGGGCTGGAAAAGGAAATTATCAAGTGTAATCTAAAAGGATTGCAAGGAATACATCCCCAAAGGGTCCGAGCTCTTTTTCTCTCTTACGAGGTAGGTCCTGCTCTTAGGACGGGGGGCGAGAAGCAGGACAGCTTGATTCCAGCTGTAAACCAGGCAGCCCTTTCGTTCTGACGGCTCTCGCTCGCTCTCGTACGCTGGGACTCTTCAGTCCCTTGTATTTTGTTTAAGCCCTATGAGCTGCAAAGCAGTTGTACTTTAAGGAAGTTAGTTCCTGGCAAGCAATCTGAGAAATGAAAGTTAACAAAACAGTAGGAGATTAAGCAATTTGTCCTTTTTTCAGATCTAGCATTTCCCTTCTACCTGATCCATGTATCTTGTGCCCAACTATGCAAGCAGAGCGGTGCCCAGAGTTTCTGCGGGTTTTTTTTAGCTTTGTTAACCATGTGTAGCTCCTTTAAGTTTATTCATCGCACAGATTTTATAGGGGGAGCGTGCTCGAGGAATATGGGAACCGCTTCAGCAAGGAAGAGCAAACCTCTGACCATGCGCTACAGCAATAGGATATGCTAGCATGGTCAGTGCTTTCCTGAACTGTCTGTCCCTTCCTGCAAGTTTAGGGATGCCATCAAATGGCATGCATCGCATCGGGAAGTTTGAAGAAGGGACAAGGTGATAACTGTGTCCTGGACTTGCTCTGATTCAAAGACTTAACTCTGCTGGAAAGAAAGAAAGGCCGCTCGCTGTTTCTCTGTTAACATCCACCATTTAAAACCACAACGTATCATGAAAACTTAGCAGAGCAATCTCAAGGAGCCTGGCTGCTAGCAGTGATATAAACCATCTGTTTTCAGAGACAAGGGTTTTACTACGAGCACTAATATTGAGTCCAAAGTGTGTATGAGGCTCTGACGTGTACATCTGGGAGCTCTGGGTTTGTGAGCGTGGGGACAGCTTGTGGCAGTGCTCGTGGAGCCACCTTCTGCACGGGGAGGCCTGGCCAAAAGGACCTCCAACTTCAAAACCAAAGCAAAATGTGAGCCAAGAGAAAAAGAGCACCTCTCGCGCCGCAGTTTTCAGACCAGAGGTGCCCCAAAATCTCGACATTACATGTGGATTCAGAACAGCTTCTAGGAAGGGTCTCCCTTGCCATGCCCATCAGAGGATAACTGGAAGGGGCAGGTTTCCATAAGTGGGGCACTTGTGCATGCAACACGGACCCACCGCCCAATTCTGTACCCAAATGTAGCAGCTGCCTGTGCAGAGCTGTGCCCAAGGCAGACCAGGTGCAGAATCGTATGCTGGCCCCGGCCTCCTGTTGTGACACTTTGATGTCTAGCATGAAAGCACCTAACTCTTCTTCCCGCTCGCTGGCTTGTCACTGGTCTGCCCTGGTCCGCACCCTGCTGCCAGGGACTTAGGTCTGGGTGGGATGGGCCGTTAGAAAGGGAGTCAAAGCCCATTGAAGCTCACAGGGGGTCTTTCCACAGGCTTCTGCAGACTTTGGAAGTGGCCTCGAGAGAGCCCCCGAGTGGAAGGGGCGGCAGGGAAGAAAGCAGGAGCTGGGGAAAGGTAAGAGCAAGGCCTTTCTCAGCACAGCCTGTGCGCGCAGGACAGGGCGCCCCATGGAAATCAGCAGGAGGGTGCTGAAAAGACCAGGGTTTTCATTGCCGTCACAAGATCCTCTCGTGCCTTTCTTTACGCCACAGCCTGTCACAGGTTCGCTCCACGTGGTCAGGACATCAATGCCAGCCTTGTTCGCTATGTTCAGCCTGAAAATAAGAGCTGCCGCCTCCTCCCACTTGGAGGCTTGGGTCTGCTGATCCAGTGGCAGGAAAAGTGCTGCTCTTCACACGTCCTGTCGTGTTTGCTAAAGCCGTCTAGAGGAGTGGTGCTTCTCCTGAGACGGAGGGACGTAAGCATCGGGCTGGGTTTCACTGGGGTCCCTGGTCCAGTGCATCCCACATGGTGCATTTCCACACCCCGTTCCCAGCACTTCTGGGGAGGGATGTTCTCAAGCACACGCTGCCCGCCCGCATGCTCCAACAGGCGTGAGGGCAACCACGGGGAAGCCTCCACAGGGCTTCACAGCTGCATGTCCAGATATGCATGTCTAAACCAATAACGGTGGATGGCAGCAAGGGTAGAGATCGCTCTAGAGATACCCGGTTTCATGCTCTCCCTCTATAGCGTCCCCTTCTGCTACTGTTGGAGACAGGATGCTGGGCTAGGTGGACGACTGCTCTGATGGATGGCATCCAAGCCTGCCTTACATATCTACAGGAACACGATTACAACCCAGACTACAGACCCAAAGATATCACTGACCTTATACACGTCATCCTCACACACAACAATTTCACTTTTAATAACCAATACTTCCTCCGGATGATGGGAACAGCTATAGGAACCAACATGGCCCCGCAGTATGCCAACCTTTTTATGAGTCACCTGGAAGAAGACTTCCTCAAGATGTGCACCATCAAACCCTTGCTATACATAAGATATAATCAATGACATCGTCCATCATTTGGACTGAAAACTTGCAATCTCCGATTGAGTTCCAGAAGAAATTCAGCAATCACCATCCCTCCATCCGACTTTCTCTAGAATACTCCAGCACCAACGTCTCCTTTTTAGACACAATGATCGATATCCAGAATGATAAAATACAGACCACGTTATACAAGAAACCCGCAGACCAACATACGTATCTGCACAGAACCAACAATCCCCCTAAACACACCAAAAAAGCTGTGATATACAGCCAAGCCCTCAGATACCACCGCATTTGCACTGAAGAGAACACCGGGCGGGGATTGCCACCTCAATCTCAAAAAGGCTTTCACCCAACAAGGACACTCCTCCAGAGAGAGAGATTGCATGTGTGAAAGAGCCACCTGGGTACCACATGAAGAACTGATGCAGTATAGAAGAAACCCCCACACAAATCTCACACCGCTGGTTATGACATATCACCCCTCCCTCAAACCCATACAGAAAATCCTCAAACAACTGCAACCCATACTAGAAAGAGACCCTATTCTTAAAGAGATCATCCCAGAGCCACCCATCCTAGCCTTCAAACAAGCACCAAACTTCGCTAACCTCATCACCAGAAGCAAACTTCCTCAGGCCCAGAACACACCAAATGGATCCAGACCATGCCAGGACAAGAAATGCAAAACCTGCCAACACATCTCCACACCCCCACTATTACTACACCCCACAACAGAGCCATCAGCATTCCCAGATCCTACAGCTGCACCTCCAGAAATGTAGCATCTCCTCCAATGCACCAAATGCCCTGATGGAAAATACGCAGGAGAGACCAAACAACAACTGTGCACCAGAATGAATGCACACCGGAAATCTATCAAAGGCAGGAATACCCAATGACCTGTAGGGACACATTTCTCACAAGAAAACCACTCTCTCTCTAATCTCTCAGTCCTGATCCTCAAAGGAAATTTACACAACACTTCTAGAGGCAAGCCTATGAACTCCACTTCAACCACCTCCTGGATACTAAATATCATGGACTAAATATAGACATTGGATTTATGACACATTACAACCTGCCTGACATCCGACTCCCCAGGTACTTCCTCCACTCTTCATCCCTCTTCTCTCCCCCCCACCCAGCCTGTCTCTCACCCATTGACTCCTCAATCTACATCTTCATTGACTTCCTATCTTGCATGCATAGCAGCCCAGCCTCCGGCTTCTTTACTTCTCATCCCATCCAGGAAGAGCACACACCAACTGCTGAAACTTCCTCAGCCTGACGAAGGGCTTTTGTACCCGAAAACTTGCTTAAAAATTTTTTTTCCCCAACTATTTAAGTTGATCTAATAAAAGATATCAGATTCACCCAAAGACCCTTGTCTGACCCAGTCTGGCACTTCTTCCATGACATGTACACGCAGGAGTGGGCACGTGGGATGTGATCATGAGTGCCCTGTCTCCCGAATGCCAGCGACACGCTGTAGACACTGCTCTACACACACAGGCCCGGCATCCTTCTCAAGTCAGGCGGTGCGGAGGCTGCTGCAGCCACTGGAGCACCTTGGATGCTGTAACACCCCTCCTGATGAGGTTAGTTGAGTTGCTTTGCATCACTGGTGATTCTCTGGGCAGGGTGACCTGGAGGCGCCCATCTCCTCTCCAGGTACGGATGGCCATTGGCTTGCAGGGATCTCATCTGCCCTTTGCCAGGTCTTGTTTTTAGTCCTGCTGGGTGTCCATGCACCCTCCTCACCCAGGCCAGCCCAGGTGGCAGTGCCAGTTTACTCACCAACAACCCGACTGTGGAAAAGACTGTACTGGTTTACATGGTACCAGATAGCAGACCAGGAGAGGCCTGGCCTGACATGCACATCCTTCTAGGACAAGCTAATTCACACATTACTGGGGAAGGGCCTTTTAGCGAAGACTTTAAACCAGGTTCTGTGCATCCTAGGATTAACCTAGAGCTCTGGGAAATAATAAAAAAGCCCTCTCCCTTCAGGATGCTCTGAACGCAGCATGCACCTGGGTTCAACCCCAGAAGCAGCTGCATTTCAATGCTTGAGTCTGTATGCCTATTTGATCAAGCTCTTTGGGCCCAACTCAATAACACAGTTTACCCTCTCCTGCTGTATAGGAAGAGCTAGAAGAAATATGCTGAAAAGCAGTATGGCCCCAGAGGAAACCCAGGCAGACTGGCATCCACTAGGGAAGCCTCACACTCATTCCCACGTTCACGAGCATTGTGCAAAGTCCAGATTGACTCGAAGGACAGGAAAGGGAGAGAGATACCAAGCTGTGGGGCGGAGGCAAAGCAACAGTCACTTCCTCGGGTCAGTCTCACTCCTCGCTCTTTGTTCAAGTGAAAAATAGCATCGTGAAGGAAATGGGCAGAAGCACGCAGGAGGAATCGGGCCTCGAGTTCTGTACTCCTCGGCTGAGAAGGGCTCGTGTCTCCTCACTCGGGAGGGGAAGGGAGGGCGTCGGGGGCATCAGACCATCTTACCCTATGGTGCAAATCCACTGACATCATTTACTCAGCATGGTGAGTTTAAAATGCAGCATTTTTTTCTCTCTCTCTGTGCAGCAGAGGCTTGGAGAGAAACGCTGTGCTCGGGAGCCTTGCGCTACGTAACTCCGCTGTGGTCGCATAGGCCAACGAGCAATCGCCAGACAAGGGAGAAGAGAAGTAGGGTCCAGGTCGCTCCATTATGGATTCAGCTTTAGGCCTGTATGAGGGCTTTGGATTTGAATGCTCATTGCCATGTGTTTCCAGCGAAGGAGCGTGTGGAAACAAGGCGCTCCCGTGAAGAATAACTGCTACATCACGGGTCAGGAAACCCCTCGGGCTCTCAAGCTTCTGGGTGTCTTTTCCCAAAGATCGTTAGAGCACCCCCACATAAGTAGGAGGACCAAGGGCCCACAAAGAAGGTCTCAGTCCCTGCAGGAGTCACTCAGCACCCTGTAAGATTGATCCCCATCCTGGTAGCACACAATCCAGCTGTATCGGCTCCCATAGAGCGGTCCAGAGCTGGGTAATTTCCCTGTCCTGCAGCATGAAGCATATTCATGTTCATGGGGGGGCTCTACGGAGAGACCTACACCTTTAAACGAATGTACCTCCGAAACATAAATGCTCTCTCAGCTCTGCTCGCTCAACTCGGTATCCCGTAGATGCTCGGCCACGGTCGCAAGCTAGAAAAACAATTTGCAAGCTCTGACGAGCCAACAGATCCTCCAAGCCCACCGAGGTTTGGCAGCTTCTGCTTGCCTGCCCTCCGGTCGGCAGAGCCTCCTCGCTGACTGATGGGCAGAGCCGGTCTACGGTGGCGGGAGCAGTTTAGAGAGAGGATCCTCCCCTCCCTCCCTCCAAAACCTCCGTAGCTATTGTGTAAAGGAAAAGAGCCCCGAGACGTTTCCTCTGGGCGTCAGAAATGAGAGGCATGAGGCCTCTCCTCTGGGCTTTGGGGAAGGGACTCGGGAGCGGTCCGGAGAGGCAGCATCCAGGCGTTTAAGCCCTTTCGTCGGACCACACTGTAGATTTGTCCTCGGTACGGAGCGGAAAGGCCAGCACAGCCAGTGCCTTTGCAATACCAGATGTCACGCAGGGTCATGATTTATTGAATCCATATGACACTGGAGAGCTTCCCCGATCATACCCATTGGCTTTGTGGTTTCCTTTAACCAGCCTTGATTAATGATGGATATTGTTCTCACTTGACTCTCCCCACCCCTGCGGCCCTCGCGGCCCATGTGAGAATGAAAATAATCACTACCTGCAGGCCCCAGACCTCACAGAGAGGTTACAGGGCCCCATTCATCCCCGGGCTCGAGACAGCCATAAAAGGAGACTTTATAGCTGAACATTTTCTGAATGGAGCATTAAGTTATAATGTGCCTCGTCGGGTATCATTCTGCTGAAGAGACTCAAAGTCCTTCCTCTCGCCCACCCTTCCTCCTTAAGGAATTGCTCCATCTGAAAAATATTAGATGTCGAAGGCTCCTTTATATTCCTCTGCCCTTCTTGACAATAGGTTCTTGTCCGCTCTGTTCGACAGCAAGCATTTTTGCTTCCAGCAATAGAAAACCCGTGATGACTCGGGACCCATTAATGTGCCCCGATTAGTTACCCTACGTAGTAACGATGATGCGTCATAGATAGGACCCAAAGGCAGCAGTGGAAAAATTGATTGATATGGGGTTATTGGCATTCTGTTCACACTGGGGACAAGCCACTGACCTGAATGAAGTTACACCTGGGTAAGAGAGTCGGGAATCAGGCCACAAAATGCACCCTGCTGCTATCTCCAGGGTCTTGTTATTCTTGATTTTAGGCATGGCAGGGATTTATAGAAGCTATTTTTAATACTATTAAACACTTCAGGATTATCTTCCAGTTCCTAATAAAATGCTCCCCAGGGACCTGTTATTCCAACCTCTGGAAACCCAGGTTTCATGTTGATTTAAACCACAGTGATGATCTCATCCGAACCCTCCGGGCAAGGTCATCCGAACCCTCCGGGCAAGGTCATCCAGGGCAGAAACGCGCCACACTTGGAAGACAAGGATCAGTAAAGACCCAGAGTGAAAAGGACCCAGAGATAAGAAGGGATGGAAGGACGCTAACAGTCAGGGTAGATGTACATTTGCAGGACACACCATTTTTGGGGTTGGGTTTGGGTTTTTTTCCATTTTTCGTATTCCAGGTCAAATTTGCCAAATCCGTTCTGAATTTGCAACGCAATCCTTCAAACACCATATGCGGTGCTACAACCAGTAAGTATCCTCCATCCCAGACTTTGCAGCCTGATGCTTCAGATGCTCCCAAATCCATTGGCAGGCATCCTACGTGCAGGCCCAAGCCCAGAGGTCTTGGGATTCGGATGCAGGACACACAGTTGGTTTAGGATTGTCCATGGGCCTGCTGAGCTCTGGGAGGGTCTTTCCCCGATGACCCTGTGGGCAGGTACTGTTCACAATCTGCTCCCTAAACGCAGTAAGCCAAGTCCAAACTTCCCTTCTCCCCAGGACCTGAGGTTGGCTTGATGAAAATGGAAGTTAAGTTCGGCTTAAACCTCTCACTCTGCCATCATTTGGTTCCTCCTTCCAAACTGCTCAGCCCACAGCCTAGATCCTCTCAGCTTCCTGCGTATGCACCAGGATCCACTGAGATCCACTCAGGGCAGGGCCGCCGCCTGCTAACACGGAGAGATATCTCGGGCAAACCCTGCCAGCCTGTTCCAATCTCCAATGCATCTGACCTCAAGGAAAGTGGCAGCTGTATGCAGTGACTAAGGGCATGGTTGGAATAACTCGTCCCTGGGGAGCATTTTATTAGGAACTGGAAGATAATCCTGAAGTGTTTAATAGTATTAAAATAGCTCTAATAAAGCACTTGGAGGAGAAGAAGGTGATTAGTACCAGTCAGCATGGATTCACCAGGGGCAAGTCATCTACCTGATTGCCTTCTATGATGGGATGACTGGCTCTGTGGATGCGCTGTACCTGGATTTTAGCAAGGCTTTTAATACGGTCTCCTACAACGTTTTCCCAGGCAAGCTAAGGAAGTATGGACTGGATGAATGGACTGTAAGGTGGATAGAAAACTGACTGCAGCATCCGGCTCAGAGTTTAGCAATCAATGGCTCAATGTCTAGTTGGAAGCCAGTATCAAGCGGAGTGCCTCGGGGGTCAGTCCTGGGGCTGATTATGTTTAATGTCTTCATCAACGACCTGGAAGATGGCATAGAGCACACCCACAGCAAGTCTGCAGCAGACACCAAGCTGGGGGGAGCAGTAGATATGCTGGAGGGTAGGGCTAGGATTCAGAGTGACCTGGACAAATGAGAGGATTGGGCCTCATGAGGTTCAACAAGGACAAGTGCAAAGTCCTACATTCCCCTGCACCAGGGCAGGCTGGGGGCGACTGGCTGGGCAGCAGCTCTGCAGAAAAGGACCTGGGGGTGACAGCGGACAAGAAGCTGAATAAGTTTCTATCACATCACAACACAAGGCCTTCTCACTCATTAGCAGCACTCCCTCTAGCTGCATGGATACTTCTTGCATTGGGAAAAAGAGAACACCTCTGATGTCATCAGACTCTGAACATCTCCGATGTCATCTGATGTGGTCGCACACACCGCACCGAGCGCCTCGCCTCCTCGTGACCTCATGGAAACAAACCCTATGACCAAGGCACAGTGCCCCTGGCTTTCTTTGTTTCAGAATGGGCTGTAGGATCATTCCTTGGGCTTGAGTCTGCACTATCCAAAGCAATTCGGTCTCTAAATAAAACACGCGATGGAAAACGTGCTTGTTTTCAGTGGAAACTTCTCTATCCCCCCGTGACCTAGTGCAGTAGATCTGGAAAATGAGTGCACAGTGATGGAAAAGCTCCAAAACTCTTGTATGAGAGAACTGAAATGCACCCAAAAAAAGCAGAGTTGCCCTTTCTGGATTCAGATAAGCAGGGTTTAATACCACTGTTTTCAATGCGGCACTGAACTTGAGCCACAATGCTTTCCTTCGGCTGTTTGGTTTCCGTCTGCGTACACTCATGCGCTCAGACGGGGGTGCCTGTGTTGGTTTTGCACGTTAAACGTGAACAGCGGTGCAACGATGATGCACCGAGCCGTCCCACTGAGGCACTGGTTCGGTGCTGGCCCAGGGGAGTACAACTTATGACATAATTGCCACCACTTAGTTATGAAAACAAGGAAGCTAACCATGGATTTAAGATCCTCGGCAGTCAGCAAAGCAGAGAGGAATGTGCATCATGTCCTAGTTTGGGTCTAGGGCAGGGGAGCCAAGAGGCACATGTAAATAAATGACAGGGGCATCAAGGACCACCCAAACTGCATATGCAGTGAGGAGCCGTCAATGAGCCACATTGCACACTCCTGCGCTGAATTTGCGTATCGTGGAGGGACTAAAGCAATCCGCTTAGCAGGCCTGGATGTCATCAGCTGGCTAGCAAACCTCAGCATACGACTTTAATTTACCTTCTCTGCCATTGCTTGCCCTAGCCATATGAAAGAAGAACAACCTAATGTTCCCTCAACCAGCACAAGTGGCGTTTGGACTCCAGCAAGTCAAAGCATCGTTTTGATTTGTAACTCAAGTGCCTGAGATTCCCCGTCATCATTGCTAACAGCCATTAAGCTTGGAAGAGACTCCAGGGGCGCTGATGCAAAAGCATGGCATCACTGCGAGCTATCCCAGAACAGCTTGTCGCAGCTGCTGTTATAAGAGATGACAGCAGTGGAAACCACCACCCACAGTGCATGAGCTGCTGACAAGGAGAGAACGGGAGCGTCGCTTTGACATCCCTGTTGCCCTTCGCTGAATGCCTGGGGTGCCAGAGTCCAGTTCGGAAAAGCCTTCAGGTGATGGGTGCTAGCAAAGCAAGCAGCACGTTGCCTGTCATTGTGGCATCCGTCGCACTCAGGGCCTGAGGAACACGGCACAACAGACACAGCCCCAAATTAAACTGGCCTGATCGGTATTTTCTGTTTTATGTAAAGGTCTCCAGAGCTAACAGAAGAAGAAACAATGCGGCAAATAATTAGCAAAAGGATTTACGAAGTGCGCAAAGCTGCAGGCCCCTGAAATGCAAGGTAGGCCTTGCAGGAGTGCACTTTCTGAATAGATGCCCCCAAGGGAAGGCCGTTCACGCAAGGGTGAGCAAACTTCACACACGCGCGTGTCCCCTCCTCTGCCTCTCACCTTACAGCCTAGACCTGACGCTTCACCATTTGACCAATGGATGTGGATACATGCTGCGTGGCCTGGGGCACTGGGCACACATTTGCACCCCCACGTGTGCATTAAAGATCCCTTGTCAAAGGTATTACCCTTACCCTCACTGCCTCTGCTTCAGCCCAGTGGGACCTGCCTTTCAGACTGAATATGAAGCTTTTCCTTATCAGAGCCTTTGCTCACGTGAGCAGTCCCACCACGGGATTCCTCCCATGAAGAAAGCATGAAAAAAGCAGCGCTGTTGCTGGGAGGAAGAGGAATAAGGCATCAGCTCGAACCCCGAGCTCAAGTCGCTTCAAATTAAGTGGCATGCTCTCAGCATGTAATGAAAACCAGATAGGAAGCCATCCAGGGGAGCCCACAACGCTCGGAGCAGAAAACTTGTGGCTGGTGCTGGATTATCCATCACTGAGGGTACCTTATTCTCGCAGAGCCCTATCAGCTGCTCTCAGCGGAGGCACGTCAATAAAAATGTTACCAGCCTTTCGTTGCCGATGAGGAGAACAGGACCAGCCTCTGTCTGGAAGAGATTTTGATCAATGACTCTGAGAAACCCCAATTAAATTGATTTAAAGGAGGAAGTGACTATAGATGCAGGACATTTAGTGCCTTTTATTATTTTCCCCAGCTTTTGCCGCCCACCCTGGGATTCTGCTGAACATTTTTCTAATTAATTCCTCTTTCCACTCACATCTTCCAGCCCCCAACCAGTTCAATGCATCTTTCACCAAGCACACAGATGGCGTATGACGTTCCCCTCTGCACAACCCCTGTCCCAGCCCCATTGCTTCTGCGATGGTTTCTCAGTTTTTTGGTTCACTTTGGATCTTACAAAAGTCTATTTTGCTCTCGAGCGGAGGTGGTGGGGGAGGAGGGAGCAGAGACACCCCAAGATGTCAGTGGCTTGATTTGGCCAAGCCGACTATGAAACTCTTAACCACTGATAAAGCCATTGAGGCTTTAGCAGGTGCCAAGCTGGCTCGGTTTGCTGAAATGAGGCTTGAGGTGGGTATGCAGCACGGAGGACTCGCTTTGCTGTGGTCTGACCTGTTCTAGTTGCAAAGGCTGACGGCAGTAATTCCCAACCAGGTGCCAGAAGATCCATTTAAGGGTGACAACCCCCTGCCACCAGGTAGCACTGCCCCACCACACCTGTTTCCAGGAAATACCATGTGGGGTTGGACTAGGATGTGGCCGCAGCAGGAAGGATGCTGCAGCCCAACCGGATGGGATGGGTCGCTCTGTGGCTGTGGATGTTGGCCTGCTTGAGAGCCTGGACTGGGCACGACACCACCACAGACAGGGCCATCCCTGCCCAGTGCTTCCCAGGGAACAAGGGTGCCCGTGTGCTTCATGCATCGAAGCAAAGGCAGGGGGCACATCTCCCTTGCACAGGGAAAAAGAGGTGCTTCCTCTCCCTGCATCCACTGAGGGTGCTCCTAAATTCAGAAAAATGACAGAGCGGGACCTGAGTCTAAAATGGTTGAGAACCACTGGTCTAAGAAGCAGAGCAGAGCACAAAGCCCACCTCCCATCACCTCCATTTCTGTAGCAGCAGTGGGATCGGGTGTGGGGTGTGTTTTGTCCACAATGCAGTGTACAACTCAAACGTGTCCTTGGAGAGAGGCCCCAATTCCAGAGAAGCCTCGAGCGAAACGCAGCGTGCTTCCCCGACTCTGAGCTGCCGTGCACCTGCAAAGAGCGCGCAGAGTTATTACTAGAAATGCTCTGCCCAGCTGATCCTGGTCTATGGCACGGGCCGTCTCGGCAGTGTTGCAATACAATACTAATACTACTAATACCATCGTTAGCATTTACTCAGCAGCAGCTCTCTGACTTGGAGGCAAGTTATGCACCCCCAAAGCTGCCCATCAACGTCATGTTAATAAACAGCCATTCACCAGCTAACCCTTTACCTGAGTGATATTGGATACCTTCTCTCTAAATGACCATGAGATACCCACAACCCCGACTCCTCATCATCGCTGTCATCAACCTGAATTGCAGCTGGACCCCATAAAACCTTGAAGCTACGCCAGGCATCCCTGGTAAAAGGAAAACCACACAAAGCTTTCCAGTGTAGTCAGGCAAACATCTGAGACAGTGCTCCAGTCTCTGTTCAGCTCTGCTTTCCGGGTCTGGGAGCGCCTGTTGCAGATGGTTTGAGACACGGCCGTGGGGCTGGTTGGAGGAAACAGGGGGAAAACTGCTCCCCCCGATTCAATGGTTAAATTAGTTTCATTGTGAAGCTTTTCTTTTTTTCACATTTCAGTATCCAGGGGAAAAAAAAAAACACTAGGACGGGCTGGAGTTTGGGTCTGCACATGCCTCAGTGGGCAACGTGTCCCCAAGAGCACTGCTGAAGAGTGCCACGGCCTCTCTGCTTTATTCTGAGCATGTCGAGACGGCGGCGAGGAACAGCTAACATCTCCCCCTTCACATAGAAACCCCAGTGAGCTTCAGGAAGGAGCATCCAGCACCAAGGCAGAATATTATGGGGTATTTGAGGAGCACGGAGCTGGTCCAGGGCATTTTGCTTCGGTCTGTGGAAGGAAATGCCCATGCTTGTATAGAAAGAAGCACTCCTTGCCAGCTAGAGCAGGTCCTGGCAACCGGGACAAATGCATGAGTTTTGATAGTGTGAGAAAGCGCCAGTTTGAAGCTCCCCCATGAGCAGGCGAGGAGGAGAGATGGATGGAGGCATTTACAGAGCCTACACTTGCCTGTCCTGAATGGCTCTCAGCAGTCAGAGCCTCACAACAAAGAAACCCCTTCTGCGACTTGCTGAGGAATAACAAGGCATGACCTTCCCCTACTGCCAAGTGCTGACGCAGTGCGGGAGGTCACGGGTCCGGTGGATGAATGCCTCCTGCAGCGAGCGATAAGACATCTATCAGCATCTTCACGATTTATGGCCACCACATTTGCTTAAGAAGAAAAGAGGGCAAACAAAGGGAAAAAGAACCAGCCGGAGTTGACATCAGGGAAGGTAACTGCGCCCCGTGCCACAGGCCCGATTCCTCCCTCCGCTGGACATGCTCCACTGCCTCCTTAACCAACGATGCCGCAGCATCTGCAGGGGAAAAGGCAGACACATGGTCAGGATCCAGAGCCAAGCCTCTGCCTGGCAGATAGAGCCGTGCGCTTTCCAGGCTTCTATTTTTCACTCCCTTTTGCCTTTCAGCCTGGAGGAGAAAGGCAGTAATGGAGTGAGAGAGGATTCAAGAGCTGCCCAGAGCTGCTCTGTGATTTTTTCATGGCATTCATGACAAGCGCCGAGACGCTGATACCATCCGGAGCCAGGAGAGCTGTGAGAGAACGGGAGTGCTGAGATAAGGCATTGAATGCTATTACACACGCGCACCTTCCTGCACCTAAAATAGCTGCTGCTTTAAGGCTCCACACTGTTGAATGGAAAGTCCCCAAAATACTTATTCATAATAAATCCCAACCAGCTTCAAATAGAAATTAGCATTCAGAATACCTGCAAACAACCAGTAACCAGAAGCGAATAGGTAGTGAACTTTCTGGCCCTTAGACACATTTCCCCACTTGGGTTTTGCTACCTTCATGGCCACACGCAGTTTCAGCACAGCTGTTTATGCGTCTACACTTTTGTACATGCACCACCCTCACCGCCCTCTTCTTGTCTGTCCGAGATCATTTCTCAGGCTCTCCAAGGTCACCAAATGATGTAGGTCGTGTCCCCTGGACTCCTCGGAGCTTGAAAAGAGTGGCAACCTCTGTGTTCTTCACCAAACCCTTCAGTCTTGTCAGTAAGCAACCACCTGGAGACCCTTCCAGCTAGCAGCATCCACCCTGTGGGTTAGTACTTGCCTTGTCTCCTCAGATACTGATGTTGTAAGAACTCACAGCTTGTAGGCCGAGCAGTACAGGTGCCCCAGTAGAGTCCCTTGGCTGTGGAGTCCAGGGCTAGGAACAGACATTCAAAAAGCCTGAGCCTGAATTGATTCAATCTTTGCAGGTTAGTCTAACCTGGCTAGACTGAATCAATTTGTAATTGCAGAGACATCCCAGAAATGCAGGCGCATGCCTGCAGTGGCTCAGGCTAGAAGCCAGGGGAGCTAGAGGCCCCCTCCCTTCCCTTCCATAGTGCTGAGCTGAGGGGGGTGAGGCCAGGCCCCAACAGGATGCTCTGATTAGGGAAGGGCTCCCCCCACTTCTGACCAGCCCAGCAGGGAATTGCTAACAGTGTTTATTACCCCAACTCACTGTTTATCAGCCCATTAAGAAAACAACAGAGGGATGATACTAGCTACCTGCTGATTCTGCCTTTGTCCTGTCTGCCACAGCATGCACGGTAGCCAGCATGTGGTCTGCTAGCTAGTGCTGAGAGGTGTCTGTGCGAGGCAGAGGGGATGGGGAAATCCCTGCTTAGCAGGGAGTGGGGAGGGGAGTGAGGGAGCAGAGGGAAGCCAGACAAATGCCTTCAGTCTCTGCCAGAGCTCCAGCCAGGGAGCAGAGGGGAGGGACCAGCTCTGCTGTGGAGCAGAGCCCTCCCCAGCCCAGACAGCATGCTGGGATATTGGGAGACTCTGATTTAACTTAAACCAGGAAGGAAGGGCTGTCTGGTTCCCAGAGCTATAAACCTTTCATCCCCCTAAGCTCAAAGCAACACACTAATAGCAGACTGCAAGACTGCTGGACCCAAGCAAAGCCTTCTTGTCCATCCTTGTAGGCCCAGCAATTGCCACTGCTCATTTCTGGACGTGTCTGGGCCCGTCTAACCAAATTGCCTGATGATTCAAATGAACACAATTCCCTGCCTGCCCCACGTGTTCGCTTTCCTCCTTTGGGGCAAAACAAAAAAAAGCAAATGCTGCTCTATAAATTACAAAGCTGCACAAGCACCATTCAGACTCCTTCACGGTGCCCCACCAGCCCGCTTCATGCAGACACAAAAGGAGGGTAAATGTTCCTAAGTCTGAAGTCAACAGCCTCAGTCTCTACCTCGCTGCCTTCAGCCTTATCAGCTGTCAGTTCTTGACAGTGTCTATTTAGCGATAGGAATGGCTGTCTGTAAGAACCTGGTCTAATTAAAACCTGTCTTCCTTACGCTACTAAACAGCCCATCAGGAAGCAAACTTTCCATCACCGGACACCTAGGCTGGAGTGTCCTCCAAACAACAAGCTTCTCTGGGGCATTTTTCTGGAGGGGATGGGGGTTTCCCTGTTGTTGTTTTTTTGAAGGAAAGGGGAAATAAGATTTGCAGGTCAAATATTCTTATACATTTGTTGCAGGGCAGGGCATAAAACATGGTCCTGAGATGCCCCCTCCAGTACCATAATATGCCACCCCACAGCATCACCCTTTCCAGGGCCCTGCACCCTCTCCTCTTGCTGAGTTTAGCTGCTGGATTCCCTCTCATGAGTGTGTGCTCTCTCCTTTCCACCTGGGGATGTTCCAATGAAGGCTAAGAATGGCTTCCTGACACTCTCTAACCATAAAGGACTTGCCAAATCCCCGAGACTTGGACGCCAAGTGCCAATCGCTTTCCCAGAGGACCTGGCTATAAATGAGAGCGACCAAAGAGCACACCGTCCTGGGGTATTAGCTAGAGGCCTGCCAGAGACGAGGGCAAAGCCTGCAAAATCCTGCCCAGCCAACATGGCACGTTCCAAAATCGTGGGTCAGCATGATAAAAGTCACGAGAATTATTCTTGTTCAAGAAATAGGTCTCCTTCAAGCTGGCAGTATTACTGGGCCATCGGTGTCTTCAGTGTACAGCTAGCTAATAGGAATTCCTTAGGGGGCTCTTGTATGTCTAACTTGCACCTTCTTGGTTGTGATGGGCGACCCTGCTGGAGTGCTTGGGAACAACCCCCTTTTCCCCTCGCTGCAAATTACTTCAGTCAAGAACTTCTTTAACACACAGATATAACTTTTCCAGCCCTCGCCCCCAGGCTCTTTGGTTAGCCAGGCTCCAAGTAAAGTACTGCATGCTGCATTTCTCCAGACCATCCATCCCCAAGCTCTTGAAACAGTCCAACACAATGATGAATCTCAGGATACAAACTCACCCGGCCACACACGGCAATAATTTATGGGTGTCTTCTGGGAAAATGTTGTTGCCATTACCCTGGTTTTCACATTCTGTGGTTCAATCACATCTTTCAGGGCACTCCCTTGCAGAGACTTTGCCAGTCACTTGACTAATGTCTGTAGAAGGACTCATTCTGGGTGGGACCACTGTGAATTATGGCCCATCCTCTTGTCAGGTAGCTTTAATGTATTCTTGGATGAAGAGTTGGCTACTAGTATTGCTGTCCTCCAGCTGGTGCGTCTCCCCGTGCCAGGAGCCTTTGCCAGGCAATTAGTGACTATTGCTCACATTTGCGCTTGCCATTTTCCAGGCCTGGCCAGGGCGCTGTACAAACAACTGGGGACGCACTGTACACGAGCCTGCTCCAAGCAATGTGAATACAATGTTTCTTGCAATGGGACACGAGCTCATCAGGAAGAGGGATTAGGTTGCACATCTGAGGTTTGCTCAGGATGAGCCCAGTAAAGAATAGTCTTTCCTTGCGCCCAGGCTCATAGAATTACACAGTAAATCAGGTGCGGCGTCTCACGCGGAGTTCAGCCTAGCCAGAAGAATCCCATAGACAAGACTGCCGGAGGGAGGAGTCTGTTTTGGGGACGCACAAAGGTCCTATCCTGCTCCTTAAAGCACCGGGGTTTGGAACTGGTGCAGTAAAGCAGAAACTGCTCGCTTACAGCAAGCTTTTCATTGACTCGGAGGAAAGGGGACAAGTGGGAACAAGGTCCGCCCTTTCTCGGCTGTGGAGCATTGACATCGCTCCTGAGGAGACAGAGGAGCTAAGTGCAGTTGCACCAGCCATGTAGCAGGCCCAGAGGACAGCCCCGCAGTTGGAGAAAGGCAGCTGGATCTTGGTGGGGAGTGAGAGCGGTGGCAGCTTTCCACAGGCTGGGGTGGTTTACTGCTGGGCACATCCTCCTGACCCTGCGAGGGCCGGCATGGCATCTACTCAACCCTGCAGGTCATTGCGCTGGAAGGGCAGATGCCTGTGCCCAGGCTTGTGGCAACGGCATGGATGGGTACCCAAGCAAGGGTCCCTCCCTGTCTCTCTCGGCTTCCAGAGCACTAGGTAGAGATGCCCCATTGAGGGGAAAGGCTCCCTATGGCTCTTCTTCCTCCTTGAGCAGCCTCAGCATGTCTTGACAGCCCAGGACAGGACACCATTAGGCAAAGGAAAGCACAGCTGCTCCACAGAGAAGCTCCCCACCATGCCAGTGGCCACAGCCTGGTCCCAGGCTACATGTGCAGAGCCTAGGGCAGCACAGTGTAGAGCTATGCCAGCTAGCTGGGAACGAGCACCCCTCACCTGTGCCAATTCAGCTGGGCAAAGCGGAGCCCCTGCTGCAACAGCTGTCCTGCTTTAATACTCCAGCTACTTGCTCCGTCTCTACCCAGACCTGTGCATCCTGCTGCGTAGACCCAAGGGCTAGAGCAGCGGCTCTTAAAGGTGGTGCCATGAGACGTTTTCCTAATCTCAGTGCAACCCTTCCCCATACCCCGGCTGTGCCCAGCACACAGAAGTCGTTGCTGGCAGTTCTGCTGCTGGAACAGTGGCTTTTAATTGGGAGTGCTGAAAAATGGATGGTGCGTAGAGGCTAAAAAGGTTGAGAAGCACTGGTCTAGAGGCACCGACCATGCTAAGAACAGCAAAACTGCAGTTCAGGGGTTCCTAGAGCGTGGCGACAGCAGCGTGCAACAGAAGAAGTGCAACAGTGGGTCAGACCAGCGGTCCATCTAGCCCTGGATCCTGTCTCCAACAGTGGCAGCGGTGGAGGGAGAGGGGGGAACCGGGT